GCTCAGGGCACTTCGCCAGGCGAATCTCGGCGAACATGACAGTCCCGAAATTCTATTTTCGACCGTTACCTGACTTCCGAGTGTCCGATTTCGATTCCGTAAAAAGCTGCGATCTCGGAATTCAACGTATAACCATAATTTCATACTTAGGAGGCCGTCCAACGCACTTTCAATCTTTAAATATTTTAAAACCCGATTACTTCCAATCTCAACAGCAGATCGTGGAGCCTCCTATTACGATACCACTTCGACCTTCGACACCACAACACAATAATTCTACTCGCGATCTCACAAACACGGAAACTCACGTCCTTCAATCAATTGATCCATCAAATCATTAACTCTTGGAAGCGAACACTTATCCTTGACAGTCACCTTGTTCACTTATCTATAGTTCACCCAAAGCTTCACAAAACCTTCTGTCTGTCTAACCAACAAAAATTGGTGCACCTTACGGTAACACACTCAAACAAAAGAACCTCTCCCCCAGCGGGTCTTCAAGTTGACTCTTCAACTTCTCCAATCCCAACGTAAACATACAATATGGAGTCATCAATATCAGACTCGTCCCAAAACAAAATAAACGTGTAAGCTTTACTTCACACTCCGATAGTAAATCGCTTACTTCCTTAGGGAACCTCTGGCAATTTCAACTAATTAACAAATCCCAATTTTCTCACTTTCCTTCTCATTCGAAGTTTCCGTCAAAATAAACATCTCAACACCGTATTACGCCAACTCCTCAAAATAATCCCTTAAGCACTTAGCTTAACTCAGGACAATTCACTGCTCACGCCACACAAGCTCGCAAGACACGTCTATCCCATCCAACACAATCCCGTCTACTATTAACAAGAGATTAAGGGTGATCAGTTCCTCAATTTGTTAATAGACAGCCGAAATCATGATGGGGTACAAACCATCTTTACCAAACTATGATAGCATTCCTCAACACACTAAGCCACCACACCGTAGCATTCCGGAGAATTACAAACTTCTCCCCCACTGGAATCATTCCTGCTTCTGCAGACAAGGTTAGGAAATAAACACGTACCGACAGTGTTTTCACACACATGCCGTATACTAGGGATTTAAACCACAACACCAGGTTAAACAACACACAGTCTCCATCCCAAAGGGCAGACTCAACTCAACTCAACAACACTGGCCGGACGGACCGACCTGCTCTGATACCAATTGTAACACCCCACTTCCCAAAATCAATTAAATTAATAAACATTATAAATAAATAAAATCAGAGTTTCAATTCTCCCAAGTGGGATATCACATAAAAACAACGTTTCCTTATAAAAAGGTTTATCTCCAACTTCAGCGGAATATTAAATAATAAAATTCAATAAAAGTTTGATACGTTCACAGGGAAATAAAATATCAGTTCAACATAAAACAAATAAAAACGCCCAAGTCCCGTGCTACGTATCAGAGCATCCTAGACTCGACAATCACACCAATATCCAAGCTAGCTAAGCACCTGGATTATCTGTACTTCCGAAGAAGCACAGACCACAACAACAACAAAGGGGTGAGAAATCATGATCAAAAATATAATGGTAATGTAATACATGTAATAAGGCAGTAAAACACACCAACAAATCAATTATTCACCCCAACAACACCATATAACGAACCTACTGTTCAAATTACAATATAACATATTATAATGCAAAATGCAACTCAACACCATGCATGCGGTACCGACTCGTTGGTTCATTCAATCGAACTTGGATAGATCACTTACGCTCCTCCTGAGACATGATCTATCCCCCACCATTCTCCACAAAGGAGTACGGATGAATCACTTACGCTCCTCCTGAGACATGATTCATCCCACCAAAACACCATGATATGCATACACCAATGCATAACTAATATATTTAGGCACTCAACGTGCACACGATCCTCCTGATCATATCATCATACACCAATGCACATATGTACAGATATAACATACACCAACACCATATAAATCAACCAGATAGTAAACAAGTTCATACTTTAACACCAAGATATAACATATCCCACCACTCGGGGGTACGCGATCCTACTGATCACTACATACATATACATCAACTAATTGTCCACCAGTCATTATTACGGGAAACATGCACTATCACCAAGTACACAAGTTAGTTCCCACACTCATCATTCTTACAGTGCATCAAGGCCAAACTGTACCTATCATCTCAACTCAGATCCTCAGTCTATTCTAGTACCAATCTTGCACATTACCGTAACCAATAGGCTTCTAATTCCTATTCCCAAAATCATCACCTACACCCTTTATCGATACCTCAAAAGCCATACAGAACTTTCCCTAAAAACTGTAAAACACCCTATATGCCCTATATGCCAAATCAACCCAAATCACCAATTCATTAACGATCACTATATAATTAACAACAATCATCATCAATCATAACATATCAATTCACAATATGATGATCTTCCTACGGGGTTAAGGAATCCCCAACTACCCTATACATGTATAAACCATTTCCCAATCAAGTTTCTCCCCCCTTACCTTGTTAATCGGTTGATCGATGAAAGAATCCTCCAAGGTTTGGCCAATTCTGATTTTCCCCTGTTCCTTCGTTCTTCGCTCCCTTTTCCGTTCCCTTTTCCGTTCTCTCCTTTCTATCGTTCTTTTTCCACTTTCTCTAACTTCTCACAATGTATCGTAAAACTACTAATCCCTCACGTTTCTATTTTAATTCTCTAATCCAAATAATAATAATAACTTAATAATAATAATAATAATAAAATATAATAATAATAATAATAATAGTAGTAATAATCCTATTATTATGTCACCAAAATAATGTTAATAACTTAATAAAATAATAATAATAATAATAATAATAATAATAATAATAATAATCCTATTATTATCTCACTAAAATAATAATAATGTTAATAACTTAATAAAATAATAATAATAATAATAATAATAGTAATAATAATCCTATTATTATCTCACCAAAATAATAATAATGTTAATAACTTAATAAAATAATAATAATAATAGTAATAATAATCCTATTATTATCTCACCAAAATAATAATAATAATAATAATAAATATAATAAATATAATAATAATAATGAATATAATAAATATAATAATAATAATAATACCCCCACCAATATTACTATTAGTTATTATATTATTATATCTACACCAATTCACCACCAATAATCCTCCCATATCAGGGACACCCACCAATAATAATATTCATACTGATGATAATAATCATAATAATAATAATAATAATAATACCACCAATATTACTATTAACTATTATATTATTATCTCCACACCACCAATGACCTTATATATCAAGGATACTCACCAATCACATGCCAACACACCCCACCTAAGGGCACACCAATATAAAATAATTAAATTAACACCAAAATGACTAAATAAATAAAATGGGTGTTACAGGGGTCGTCCTCATCGTTTTAATGGGTGATTGTGAGAGGGAATGGTCGTATCGAGGGCTTCTACCGCAGCGTGGAAGGCTCCTCGGTCGAGTCTTTGGCTTCTCAATCTGCCCATCAGCTTTGTTTCTCTTGGGAGCTAGGGGAGCGTCTTTCTTTTCGGGGAGGGTTGTGGTCGTGTTTCTGGGTCGCTACGGGTTGCGGTCGTGCTTCTGGGTCGCTACGGGCTGAGGCCTCTCTAGTTGTGGGCGACGTCCATGTTGTTGCGACCAGGGGCTTCGAGATTCGTCCCGTTGATGTCTCCGCGGGGAAGAAAGGGGTCGTATTTCTCGCTGTCTCGAGGATAGGCTGCGAGAAACGGGGTGCCTATGTCTCTGCGAAGGAGAGCGTGATTGCTGCTCCTTTTCTAGCATCCTGATTCGTTCGTTCTGCTAGAACATAATCAGGTTCGTCTGGTTGATCGCCGCAGACAAGATCACCATGACCGGGTCAGCGTTGGGCGGCACGAGAATTGGTTGAAAAACAGCAGGACTGTCGAACCGTTGGACGACATTGTCGATCACATTGTTGGAAGAAGGAGAGGCGGTGCGCCCGTCTATAGGATCACCCTCCTCGACTGGGACAACCATGCCGGGATCATGGTCGTCGTCGTTGGTGAAGGTGGTGAAAGCGGTTTCGTGGAGGTTATCGTCAACGCATGGGCTGACCATGATCGATGGAAGTTGAGATGTGCGTTGGTTCTTTGGTTTCTGAGGAAGAAAGAACGGGGAAACAAGTGATTCCCACAAAAGGCACCACTGATTTTACCAGACCAGAAAGAGATTAGTAGCCATCAACGCGTTGTGAGCTCCTAGTTTACCGGTAGTGGATAAGAGGATGATGTGTAACTACAAGACACTCCAATGACAAAATAAGGAATGGAGCAAAGAGAGAAAGTGCAAAAAGTGTAGAAAAATAGAATACTTGACCCTCTAGTGAAAGATGATATTTATAATGTGCCCCTAGTGCTGGGTCATTAGTTATTTGCACTGAGTTAAATCATTAGACCCAATATGAATAACTGTCAGGATCTACGTGACGTAGGGAAGACCAGCATGTGATCTTCATCTTGGTCCAACTGCCCTGTGAACTTCGGGAGGTGGAGGACATGTTCTCTCAGACGCGAGTAGTTGACTAATGATGTGTTCCCGCGTGGGGAGCACGTGGAGACCGTGAAAAAGACGCGTGAGAGCTCCCTGCATGAAATGATGAATTGAACTTTTATTAAATTCTCCTCAATAAATAATTGGGTTGAGCTGCGTCCGACATTGGACCAATCTGCCTAACAATAGTTATTTAAAATCTAAATTACAATTCTATTTGATCTTTAAAATTTACAAGATATCTTAATATAAAAATTCTCTTTTAAAATTGTAATCCAATAAACTCTTGAAAGAAAATAAAAAGTTGGAGAGCACTAAACTCCATCCCCATTTCTTCCTTTCTCCCCTCTGTCACAGTCGCCGTCACTCCATCGAATCCATTCCCAACGCCGTTACAATGCAAGCCATCAACCGTTTCATCTCCGTCACACGGAGACTTACCGCCGAACAAAATCGCCTCCATTTCGCACCTTCGAGAACATTCTCAACCACAACTCCGGGAGGAGGATCCCTCGACGACGCGAATTGGGAAACGCCTTCCACATGGTCAACAGGCCTAACAAAGGACCACTTCAACGGCGAAGCGAATCCTCAAACAACTCTTTCGGATCTCCAAGAGATGGAAGACAAGCTTCAGGAGTTGGAAGAAGAGAATCGGAAGAGCAAATCTTATGTTGATAGTTGGAAGAAACGAATGGCGGATACGTGTGTGTTGTTGAAACAGGTTCGTGAACCTGGTGCCAGAGGATCGTATTTGAAGGATAGTGAGAAAGCTGAAATGTATCGTTTGCACAAAAAGGATCCCGAGGTTTATACTGTTGAGAAGCTTGCTAAGGATTATAGGATTATGAGACAGAGGGTTCATGCCATTCTTTGGCTTAAGCAGCTTGAAGAAGAAGAAGAGAAGAAGCTAGGTCACCGTCTTGATGATTCCGTTGAGCTCTTGCTCGACACTTTTCCTGAGTCAGTACTTTTTTGTATGTTCAGTTGAATTTAGGGTTTAGGGTTTATTTATTGTTTGACCTAAAAAAGATTGTTTGTATGTTCAGTTTCAGGGTTTAGGGTTTATGATTTAGTTTTTGTTAAGGGAAAATTGATAGTTCATATATTCAGTATAATTTAGGGTTTAGGGTTTATCGTTTAGTTTTTGTTAAGGGAAAATTGATCGTTCATATATTCAGTATAATTTAGGGTTTGTTTATTTAGTGAAAATTGATGGTTCATATGTTTAGGGTTTATTTATTGTTTTTTTTTTCTTCTTGTGTTGTTGCAGATTTTTTATTTCCCATGATAGGGAGTTCCATGTAGCGTCTCTTCCTTATAAACCTGACTTCAAGGTGATGCCTGAGGGGTGGGATGGCATTACTAAAGATTTGGATGAAGTTCATTATGAAATCTCCAAAAAGGAGGATGATATGCTTTATCGAGATTTTGTTGAAAAGATGAACTTCAACAAGAAGAAAGTGAGTTCTCTCTGGCTGCTTTTCTATGTTTTGTCAATGAAAAGCATACCTTGTTATATTGAAGTAGATAGATCATGTCTCGTGTACCTTATTTTGGCCTTGCTATGTTGCCGTAGAGTAGTAGATGTATTTGGTATCTTCATTCATTGTAGAGATTTAGTATGTATGGGGATAGCTTGGCATGACATATTGATTGTTTGTTTGTTGTCTGGAGAGTATAGGTGGTATCCAAATTTGATGTAGAACAAAGTGCATATATAAGTCTCTGCTGAGAAATAGAAAATATTTTGGGTAAGAAACCAGAAAAGAAAAAGGTTCTTTTTGATAATTCAGGTTTTGGGTGTGATATTCAAAACAAAGGACCTTCTTAAGCCTTTAGCATTAATAGTTGCAACTCTAACCTTTCAGAATCTTCGTTAGATGCTTCAGTAGGGCTTCAATCAGTTAGTAACAGAAATAAGAGGTAGTGTCTGTTAATGTTAGGATTACACAATAAGAGGGAAAAAATAGTGTGAACTATGGAGTCTTTAATTATTGAGAGTGGAATTTGGAAGGAAAAGTCTAGGTCTTCTGAATACCGAAAATGTAGAGCAGAGATACATTCTAATCGTTACATTTTTGAACTTGTATCAAATCGATGCTGATCAGAGGGCATTCTTTTTGTAAAATAGATTGTTGTTTAGCATGTATTCTAATGAACCAGTGTCCGACAATTGATATTAGGGTTCCAGGTCTAGTCAGGCTACGATAATAAATACAATTTAAGTTAACAGGTGACTGGAATAGTACAAAATACAAATCATAATACAAGCAACTTATGTGGCTGAGCTGAGAAGTGCTACAATTTGTTCGATGAATATAATTATCTCAATTGCTGTTGATTGGATCTCCTCTTAGCATTTTGGTCTCTCTTTGCTACCAGCTTAAGCTCCTCAAAGTTCCTCACCCACCAAAATACCAGTACACTCAGAATGAGACATTAATAGGTAGACATGATGATGACGATGAAAAACATTTTTTACGAAAAGTTTGGCTAATGGAAAAATGTTTTTACTTTTCAATTTTATTTCGGTCAGTTTTATATTTTAAATTAATTTATATTGTTTTAGAGTAGAAAAAAATCCATAATAAAAATATTTATGTTATATGTATTTATTTAAAAAAAGTTATTTAAATTCGCATGCAAACATTTTTTTTACAAATTGTATTTATCAGTATTTTTTGTAAGTATTTGTTTAAAACATGGATGTGATTAAGCTAAATGAGCAATGGTTCAGTTTCATACAGTGTTGTTAAATAGTGGCTTCTATACGCTATTGCATAGGAAAATTTGAACAAATTGCTATTGTCCCACAATATTCATTTTAGTATTAAATGTTGTTAAATTGCAACTATAGCTGCACTATAGCAATGTTGTGTTGCAAAATTTGAACAAATTGGTATTTTTCACTATCCACACTCGACTACACTTTCATAAATCTTTTTTTCAGTTCAGTTAAGTTCACTGCAGTTTTCTGTTAGAACCCAACCATGAACACCCCTATTTATGATAACTCATTTGCAGAAGATATGTTGCAACTTCAGCACGGATGACAGTAACAGCAGATATGTGACTATAGCTTAAATATTCTTCACAGTAATAACAGATGTGTGACTATAGCTTAAATATTCTTCAGAAGAAGGAAACTCTGAATACCACGGTTTTAATATCCCTCAAAGCTATGAATAAACCAACTGGTATGAAACAACGCAGGGACTAATTCCCGTAAAGAACACTTGAAACCTTCACAAATTCTTCATAAATACTTTCACCTTCACAAATTCTTCATAAATACTTTCACCGATGATTTAAGCACTAAAACATAGATTTTTATGGGTAGAGAAAAGTCACGAGATTTTGCTGTTTTCAAAAGATTAAAATTTCATGTTGAGATGGAAACGGATTCGTCTATTAGATGCTCACAAACTAATCAAGTTAGAGAGTTTATGTCGCACTACCCTAGCTTTTGTGATATGCATAAAATATATAATTGGAACTGAAAGTTACTTAAGTATGTTAACACAAGAATAGAACTATTATGTAAATATGGTTTGCTGTATGCTGTCAAAAAAGAAAAAGTCCCAACTTCTTACTTAGTAAGTTAGAAGGAAATGACTTCTAATATGCGCATACTGCTAACCAAGCCTGGTTAGGAATCCTTACGACTTTAAACAAGACACTAGAACTCTTTAATTCATAAGCTTGGCCTGCAATATTACCCAGAACCAGAACTTATTTAAACGATTTGAAATATTTGGAAAGTCAAAGATAACCCCTTTCTAAACTCTTTCTATTGCTCCTGCACAGACTGATGTTATTCACAGCTGATGCTGACTACTGCTCAGTTAGCACATATGGTCAATGTAATTTGAAGCTTTGTGTTACTCATTTGATCAATATATCTTGTGAAGATCCGGATGTCTAGATATTATAGGACAAAGCTTGGGCATAAAGTTTGTGTAGTTGTATGAATATTAAGAGACATAGTTTAGGTCTATAACTACTTAGATACACAATTTTCTCAATTGTGATTTCTTCTGAGTAAATTATATAGTATATTGAAAGGGAAAACTATGCAGCGGAAGTGTGATGACACGGATGGTTGATTTATTGAATAATGGCATGTTTTGGTGATACTGAGTTGAACGACCTTTAAGAACATCTAGATTGTTTGATGGACCATTGATAATGAATGTAGAAAGTTTGTCTGAACTCTAATGTGATTTGGCAATTGGTAGAAGTTTTGGTGAGAAATGCAAATCAAATGGTAGGTTAAAAATGGTTTTCCTGCAAATTGGTGTATATCATTTTGGTTGATCCACAATACAACTAACCTCCTTAGTAAGATAAAACCTGGCTGCTAGTATATGATATCCTTTTCAATTGTTTGATCAAAATACTTTTCTATGTAAAAAAATACTTCAAAATATAGTTCTGGCCTTTATTATTACCAAATTTTCATGTTTTGCTGATCAATGCACATTTAATAAGTACACTAGTGTGCAACTACCCTAACATCCATATTCTGTCTATTCTGTGATCTATGTGCTGCTAGTCGATTTTTTGTTGTTAAACTCACTGAATAATGTGGTTGTGATCATTGTACAGATGGCTGGAGAGGTGAAATGCCACAAGTATAGTCGACGACGCCCTGAAAATGGATGGACTTTTACTGTGGAAAAAATGGGAGCCCGGGGGAAGCGAGGAGGTGACGGGGGCTGGAAATTTGCTAGCATGCCCGATGGATCAACCCGACCACTGAATGATATTGAGAAAATGTATGTGAAGCGAGAGACTCCACGCCCGCGACGCAGGATCCTTCCCTGATTACATTTTTATTTGTTTTGACTAGCTGTTAAAATTACAATTTTTAGTCCAATGCATCATATGGTTTGAGATATGCAAATGTATTTTTGTATTGTTATTTATCCTTTTTTTTTTATGGGGATTAGTTATCTTAGGATGATCTATTAATTAATTCTCATCATATTGCTTAATTTATGCACAGTGATGTCAATAATTAAGATCCTCTTTGTTGTCAAGAAAAAAAATTAACTACCACTAGTTTTAACGCATAATTCGTGCTTAAATGTTATGCTTGCGTTCAATTTATTGGAAAAGTGTGTTATAAACTATAGACCCTCATGAAGAGATGATATTCTGGAAAAGTGTGATTCTGGATGAGATTAACTTTTATAGATTCGTTATTTTTTTATAATCTCCATAATCTTTTCATTTGAGTTATTTTGAACATAGAAAATAGAAATCCAATCCTACCTAACTGTTCAGTTGAATTTATAAAGCTTGAAGGGTGGGTTTGAGTCAAGGGCATTGCTTATTCCACCTTGCACCACTCATCCTATTATTAAGTTGTGAAATAAATAAAATTATTGCAGGTGGAGTTCCTGATGAGTTTTACCTACTTTTTTAGAGCGCAAAGGGAAAAGAAGCTAAAAACCTAAATGCAAAAGTGTTGAATCATGGACCCTACCAACCAATTCCAAGAACCACGAATACACATTAAATTGAAATTGAAGTCAATTTCAATCTCATATCAAGTTCAAAATATGAAGTTAAAAACTAAGCCATGATCATAAAACTAAGGAAAATCCGATCTAAAATCAGTAACATGCAAACATGAACGATGCAATGGTGCAGCGAAGAGAAAGAAGAGATGAAACATGAACGATGCAATGGTGCAGCGAAGAGAAAGAAGAGATGAATAATCAGTGAAAACTAAAACAAAATAAAAAGAGAAGACGTGATTCCATAATCAAGAGATTAGTTTATGATAAAAAAAATTGTGATTAGTAAAAGTATGAGAATCCGCTTCGACGTGATTCCATAATCAAGATATTAGTTTATGATAAAAAAAAAATTGTGATTAGTAAAAGTAAGAGAATCCGCTTCCTTCGAAACTGTTAGAACATAAACAAATTATAATGGTGAATTAATAGAGAATTGAGTTAATTTGTAGAAGATTAAGTTAAGAAATTAAGAGAGAATTGAGAGGGTAATTGAGAGTGAGAAGAATAATTGGCATTAACCATTAATGTGGGAGCTTACAAGGCCTTTTATATGGCAAGTACACACAAACAAGGGATACAACAAAAAACCGCTTATACAAACAGAAAACTGAAAAAAAACTGAAAAAAAAACGCCTTCGTAACCAATTAAGCTAAATCCCCTAATCGATTACGAGCCCGATACTTGCACATCCAGGTCATGTTAACACTCCGTAACCGGTTACGCGAAAACCCGCAACCGGTTACCACAGCTGAAATACTAAAAATTTGTTTTCAACACACCACCCCATTTCAGTTGTTCCAAGTCCAACATGCTCAAACTTTTCTTCAACCTTTTGAACACCTCATTTGTTACCCCCTTGGTCAACAAATCTGCAACTTGATCTTCGCTTCGACAATATCCCAATCGTAACTTGCCTTCATTTACTAGCTCCCTCAAATAATGAAACTGCATCTCTATGTGCTTGCTTCTTTCTTGTGCAATAAGATTCTTTGCAAGGTTGATTGCAGAAACATTATCAACCAGAAGTGTAGTAGTCTCACCCTCATAACTACCCAACTCCTTCAATAGATTCATGAGCCGCATAACTTGACACGCACACAACGAAGTAGCAATATACTCGGCCTCACATGACAAGAGTGCTATCACTGGTTCCTTCTTCGAACACCGAGAGATTGGTGTCCTACCAAACATAAAGGTGTATCCAACCATTGGCTTTCTATCATCTTTATCACCACACCAATTGGAATCGGTGAAATCAAGTAAATTATATTTTCGGTTCATATCCGATGCGGGAAAAATAATTCCACAACCAAGAGTTTCTTTAATGTATCTAAGGATTCTCTTGACTGCTTTCAAGTGTGACACTTTCAGTATCTCCATGAATCTACTAGCAATACCAACACTAAATGCCAAGTCTGGTCGCGTATTACACAAATACCGCAATGATTCAATCAATCTCCTATATTGCGTTGGATCCACATTTTGCTCATCCTCACTCTTGGACAACTGCAACCTTGCTTCACATGGTGTAATGGCAGCATTGCAATGCTCCATTTCACACCTCTTCAAAATCTCAAGAGCATATCTCGTTTGATGCATGAGCAGTCTCATTTTTGACTTATGAAATTCTATGCTAAGGAAATACGTCATAATGCCAAGGTCCGTCATCTCAAATTCATCCATAAGTTCACTATTGAACTTAGAGATACTCTTTTCACAACTGCCGGTAATCAATATATCATCTACATATAAGAAAAGAATAATCACACCATCATTTGCATCCGATCTCACATATACTCCATGTTCAGACACACACCGCTTGAAACGAATATCAACAAGAAAGCCATCAATGTGTTTGTTCTAAGCTCTTAGAGCTTGTTTCAAACCATATAAAGTTTTATGCAATTTGTAGTACTTCAACTCTTGTTTCTTCACTACAAATCCAGGGGGCTACTCAACATAAACCTCTTCATCAAGTGGACCATTTGAAAACGCAGATTTGACGTCCATTTGATATATCGTCCAATCATTATTATTCGCAATGACAACAACTAATCAGATGCTTTCAAGCCTAGCCACAGGTGCAAACACTTCCTCAAAGTCTATACCTTCACGTTACAAGAATCCCTTCGCTACCAATCGAGCCTTATGCTTGATTACCTCGCCTTTGGGATTTGCCTTCACTTTATAAACCCATCGTACACCTATGGGCTTCTTTCCAAGCGATAAATCGACCAACTCTCAAGTACCATTTTTTTCAATAGATTTCAGCTCCTCCTTCATTGCACATATCCACTTTGGATTGCTTAGAGCCTCTTCCGTGTTCACCGTTTCAGATTCGGCCATAAGCACAAAGTGAACGAAATCACCATCATCATTGATTTCGTTATCCTGGAATAATTCACGTTCTTGGATTCTCTGAGGCAAAACTCTTTGCCTTGTTGGTTGTCTAACATTTCCCGCATTTTCGGCTTTGATCTTTTGCTCTCCTGTACCTCTATAATTCTGTAAATTCTAATTATTCAGCCCATAACCGGTTACAGGATTCTCGTAACCGGTTACACCTTCTACAAAACCAGTTCTAGCAGACTCAGAATCCAAAAATACACGTGGTAACCGATTACCACTTTTCCCGTAATCGACTACGGAGCCTGCATCAACAAATTTTCTGCTGTTGTCAAGCTTTCGCAGCTCGTCGACCACAACATCTAGGCTTATCATGATCCTCTTATTTGCAACATCAAACAACTTATAACCTCCTGTATGGTGATAACCAACGAGTAACATCATCTCACCCTTGTCGTCTAATTTCTTTTGGAGCTGACCCAAAACTTGTCGAAATGATATCAAATCGAAAACCTTCAAATGACTCACACTTGGTTTAAATCCAGACCATACCTCTTATATAGTCACCTTATCAAGCTTCTTTGTAGGGAACCTATTTAACAAATAAGCGGCTGTAGAAACGACTTCACCCCATAGTTCCTTTGGTAAGTCTTTACCTTTTATCATGTTTCGTACCATGTTTATTATCGAACGACATTTTCCTCTCAGCAATACCATTTTGTTGTGACGTATAGGGTGACACAATCTCACCCACTATCCCCTCTTCATCACAATACTTCCCAAACTCATTCGAGGTATACTCACCTTCACCATCCGTTTTGAGAATTTTGAGCTTCTGACCACATTGCCGCTCAACTATGGACTTGAATCATTTGAACACATAAAATACCTCATTCTTCCTCTTGATTAGATATATCCATAGCTTCCTACTAAAATCATCGATAAATGTGACAAAATACCTATTGCCACCATACGAATCGACTTGCATCGACCCACACACATTAGAATACACCACCTCAAAATGGTGCTTAGTCCTATGACCTGCATCCTTACTGAAATTACTCTTGTGCATCTTCCATTGTACACACTCTTCACATATCTTAGCTGGAATGTTGATTCTTCGAAACCCGATCACCATACCGTTCTTTTGTAACACGTCAAGATCACGAAAGTTGAGATGTCCAAAACGGTAGTGCCACAACCACTCTTCTCGACTTGCCGCTGTAGCTAAACACCTATGCTCAATCGCTTTCAACTCCACCTTGAAATTCCAATTGGCAGCCATAAGAGCCTTAAGGATCAAAACACCGTTAGCATCCACAACACACAAAATTTTGTCTTCTAAGCGAATTTTGTAACCCCTCTTAAGCAATTGGCCAATACTCAAGAGATTATACTTAATTCCCGGAATATACAAAACATCCTTGAGCATAAAATGTCCACCATTTTTATTTTCGATCAAAACATCATCGACACCTTCGATCGCAAGATTGGTATCATCCGCAAATTTTACTCTACTTTACGCAACTTGATTGATTTGCACAAATCAATCATTTCTACCTGTCATATGTGTTGAACAAACGAAATCCAAGTACTATTCATTGCTGCCTTGGACTCCATCTCGAATCGTAATCATTACATTTTGCTCTGAACGCGTTCCTGCAGCATTTTCCGAACTGCTACAGCTGCTGTCCCGCAATTGACAGGTGCTACTGCTGCTGCCTAGCACCCCTTTAATGCCATAATTCTCCTCCATGATCATAACTAAAAGCGTATTTTCATCATTTACCTCTCCCTTTACAACTTTAGCTTCATCGCTTTGATTCTCCCTTGATCTCGCATGACACTCTTTTGCGAAATGACCAAATCTATGACAATTGTAACACATCGACTTACTCTTGTCAAACTTCTTAAAGTTGATGCTTTGACCACTACCTTTGGAGCTGCTCTCACCCTTTTGCACCATCGAAACCTTCGAATCTTGTGGATCATTTCCACCAAAATTCTGTAAATTTTGCTTCTCTTTCGAAGTCCACTTTCCTTTTGATCTTCTATTATTCTCGTTAAGCCGTGCTTGCAAAGCAATCTCCGCTTTGGCTTTATCGTTTCCTCTCTCATCCATCCTTTGTTCATGAGCCTCAAGAGAGCTTTAAATCTCATCTTTGGTCAATGTCGCAGGATCCTTCGACTCTTCAATAGCCACTACAATATTGTCAAATCTTGACGTTAAAGAACGCAAAATCTTCGACACAACATTTTGCTCCAAAACAGTTTCTCCGCAAGACTTGATTTGATTCACCAAACGCGTAATACACGTCACATAATCGTTGACCGTCTCATTCTCTTCCATTTGCGTTAACTCAAATTTCCTCTTGTGAGTTTGTAACCTCACCACCTTAGCCTTAACAGCCCCTGCATAAGCTTTCTCCAAGATCTCCTAAGCTTGCTTCGCCGACTCACAATCGTCAACTTTCTCAAAGTTGTCATCATCGACGCAAGAATAAATCAAGAAGAGTGCCATGTAATCTTTCTTCTTTTCTTCCTTGAATGCAGCCTTTTGAGCATCTGTAACTTCAACCCCAAGCGGTGTATCTCTATTGTTGATGATCTCAAGAACTTCTTGATGCCCAAATAGAACTTTCATTTACTTCGACCACTTGTCATAAATCTAGAATCAAGAATCGAAAGGTTGGTGAGAATTCTATCATTGGAAACGATACTCATTATTGCAACAGAATTAGATAAGAACGAATGCTCTTGATGCCAAATGTTAGAACATACACAAACTATAATGGTGAATTAATGAATAATTGAGTTAATTTGGAGAAGATGAAGTTACGAGATTGAGAGAGTAATTGAGGATGAGAAGAATAATTGACATTAACCATTAATGTGGGAGCTTACAAGGCCTTTTATATGACAAGTACACACAAATAAGGGATACAACAAATACAGCTTAATCAAATAAACTGATACAAACAAAAAACTGAAAAAACAAAAAAAAACTCCTCTGTAACCGATTACACTAAATCCCATAATCGGTTACGAGTCTGATACTTACACGCCCAAACCATTTTAACACTATCTAATCGGTGATCCAAATTCCATAATCGATTATCACAACTGAAATGATAAAAGATATAAGAATTTGCCATTTATTTATAATTTTTATTTATTTATACGGTTTGAGCCATAAATAAAAATAAGTGAAGGTGGTTAAAATACATAAACACCCTTAAGAGCGTTTGCATCTCTTTCTCTCCTCGACAGATTCACTTTCACTCCCAAAACCATCACCCCCTTCAATTCAACGCAGCATAAAATAAGATGTTCAAAAAGTACGTTTTCCGTGCGATTCATTCACCATTTGCTTCTGTATTTATTTTTTCCTATTTTATTTTTTCGGAGTTCTGTCATCAATTTCATCATTGCCTGGTAGTGGAAACCTAAACCCTAAATCCCAAAACATGTATTTAATTTGGTATAGAAACTTCCATTGTCCATTTTTTTGTCTCAATTGATAAATTATTCTATTTGCACAAATGTGTTCTATTTTATGATCTTGTTGCTTCACCCTATAATTGTTTATTCAATTCATGTTTTTTCAATGCCTATCTAAGATTTACATTTCCAATTTTTTTCAGATTTTCATCTGAAGAGGTGTCTGCACAGAATCAAGTGAAGGCTTCTGTTCAACGAAGAATAAGGCAAAGTATTGCAGATGAGGTAATGCCACTTTTTTGGGGTTGCCTTTTTATCCTTCAAAGTGTGAATTTTTTTAATAATCGACATGAATTTCTGTTAACCTAACTCACTACACTGCAGTACCCAGGACTTGAACCAGTTTTGGATGATATACTTCCCAAGAAATCCCCTCTTATAGTTGCTAAATGGTTTGTTTCTGATTGTGATTCTAGTTGCTTTCAGTTTTTTTTTTGTCTGCTAACTCTTGCTTTTTTCTGTTTTTGTTTTTATATTCTTGTAGTCAGAACCATCTCAATCTCGTTGTGGTGAACAATGTGCCTTTGTTTTTCAGTGTTCGTGATGGCCCTTACATGCCTACCTTGCGACTGCTCCATCAATGTAAGGTTCATATTTCATCTGTGATTTTTTATCTCACTTTATGCATATGATGTTGAAGTGTTTCAGAATTCAGATAATGTCTTCAACTTATAGTGAAATACTAAAACTCATTCCGTCGTCATATTATGTGGTAGGATCCATGGAATGTTTGGAATTGCATCCAATAGTTTTGCTAGTTTTCATGAACAAGAGAGAACATGAATATCACATGGTTCTTTGTTTATTAGTGATCTCATATTTACTTGTTAGATTCCCCTGAACCTGAACCTTTGAGAATTGAGAAAACTTTCTTGACTCACCCCTATTTCCACTCCTCAAACCTTTTAATCTATGTTGTCAATAGTGTAGTTATAAGGGAGTAACATAGCGGTGTTAAGGTTTTGGGGCGACACTTTTGGCCTAGTGTCATCGTCACCAATAGTTGTTACGGTTACGGCCCAGAGTATAGAGAACCTTGAATATAGGGAGATAGACTTGGAGGGAAAGGGAAAAACCATTTCTATTGCCTTGGCGGATCCATTTTCTCAATTTGGTCATTACAATTCACATCCATTCTTATTTTTAAAATGTAGGGAGTAGTCAGTAACTTATCAATTATCATTTCCTTCCCTATACTTTGACAAAAAGCACTTATGAGACATGGACAGAGGTTTTAGGCTCACATAGATATTATGCTCTGCAGTTTATCCTTTCTTATATTGCATGTGAACTATACTATTGTTTTTAATTTTACAGATCCAGATATAATGAAGAAATTACAAGTTGACCGTGGTGCAATAAGATTTGTTTTGGCTGGTGCAAACATAATGTGTCCCGGCCTCACATCTCCTGGGGGTGTTTTGGATGAGGAAGTGGGGGCAGAATGTCCTGTGGTACTTCCTTTATGTTTTGTAGATTGTTTGTAATACACAAAAAGAGAGAATTTTCTAGTGAATTTGTATTCAAACAACATGTATTCTTCTGATTTCAGGCTATCATGGCTGAAGGAAAACAGCATGCCCTTGCCATCGGATTTACAAAAATGTCTGCAAAAGAGATGTAAGAAACTTGTCTCATCGCATGTTTTGTCTAGGCATGATTGTTGAATGAAATAAATATGAAGGTTTTCCAGAATAAATGGAAAGGCTCTTTCAGAAATTCCTGTTCTTACCATTTTACTCTCTGATTGACATTGATAAACAGTCAATAGAAAAATTGGCATAATTAGTTTTTTATACAAAATTTTCATTATCAGCCACAACCTCAACACAATCAGAGGCGGACCTACTTGTTTAGGCAAGGGTGCAGCCACACCCTCAAACTATTTTTCAAACTTAGGCCTTATCTGGAAATAGAGATAAATTATGGCATGCCTAGTTTCAGTTTCGTTGATTTATTGCTGTACTCAAGGAGTTCCACTACTTTCATTGTTTCAGAAAAGCAATCAACAAGGGAATTGGGGTCGACAACTTGCATTATCTTAATGATGGTCTTTGGAAGGTATTGATTGAGATATGATTTCTTTTGTATTCACGTTGTTATTATTATTAAATCAGTATACATAGTGGTCATGTATATGTTATTCACTTATTTGATGTGCTACTGTCATGGTTTTTCTTATTTCTTTTGTTTATCTGGACAACATAACTTATTGGGTTTACCACTGATTTTTAATATTGTCATTATCTTCATTTTTGTTCAATATTGTAGATGGAGAAATTTGATTGAAGATGTTGCAAATTGCAAGCGTTGCAATGCCAACTTAGGGATGCAGTCCTGTTTTCTGGAACTTGATCCAGATTTTAGGGGTCATAAGCTAATCTCGTGGTTTATTTATTATACTCATGTAAGCAGTAAAGGAATTTTTGTTCAAAAGTTGCTCTCTTAGGTATTTATGTAACTTATACACTGGGTGTTGACAAATACAAAGTTTTGTTCAGTTATGTGCTCCAGTTATGTTAGAACCACACAAAAGTTTACTCAAACATGGTGATGCCATTAGAACATTCTTCCGTGTGTACTCCAGAATTATCTCCCTCACACGCCTTGGGAATGTTTCTTCTATATGATTGGAGTGAAAATTGGTGGTTGAGAGAGTAGACTTGCTGCATTTATGCAGATTTTCGTGTTCCATATATTTGAAATTTAGTTGTGTCATCATATCACATCAATGTCTTGTGTATTATGTGTGATTTTTAACTTACAATTTAACATTTATTGTGACCTTCGCTATAAAAGGTTTGTGTGTTAATATTACCAAAAGGCTACTAATAGCTGAAATGAATTTCATTGTCCATTTGAGTCAAAACTTGCACGAACACACTCACATGTAACACTATTTTTTACCCATGAATGGTCTGTAATGGTTGCAGAATCATTGCATTTGGATGCAAATGTTTACTTGCATATGGTTCTGACGATATATAGTTGCTATGCCGACATTGTCATGTATAATCCATACATACTTATAAGGCACAATAAGCGCCACACTAGAAATAGCGATCTTTTTATTATAGATTTCACCTATCACAACTCCTTCCAACTATAATTAGAACAGAGGTACACAAAAATATATGTTAAAAATGAAAGATACACATAGGAGATTAACAGAGTTACTCAGAAAAGAATAATTAGAACAACCGGAAAACAAGACAAGGTCTTCCTAAACCTAGAAGTCCTACCCCATCCACATTCAAAACAGAGAGACACATAATGTGTCAAAAATATTGCACCAGAGTTCATCATCAATACCGTAATAAAAAATACTTCATTTTTCGTTGTTTAGCATAATTAAAATTTCTTTAAAAATAATTTTTCAAAGAAATTACTTAAAACAAATTGATTGAAGTTGACTTTTGATTTTTTTTCTTCTTTTTATTCTCATTTAAAAAAAAAAAATTTGTAACAAAGATACTAAGAACTTCTACTGTATTTATTGATTTTTTTTTCTTTCACAAAACTGTTTTAAAATAGACTCTCAAACGTCCCCATATACATCTCTATACAAGAGTTTATCAGTTAAACAAGCCTAAGTTTTTAGAAGTGTGGTCCATTTTATTTGTCATGGTTAACTCAAGTTATGCTCTTGAAATTTATGTAGATTCAGCAACTAATTCAAGAACTGCCTAAGCAGATATAGAAAAACTCCAAACACAAATAATGATAAAACAAATTTAAAATCATATTGAGATAGTTTTAATACTAACTTATAAAACCTGTGTACATTAAAGAAATTAAGAATAGTCTTTGACCATATACATGAAGAATGAAATTGCAGAAACTAAAAATGAAAAAAGCTGATAAAGAACCTCTACTTCCATAAATTCTAAACACACTATTCTAAGCCTAATTATGTATATGCATGATAAAGTAGCCAAACGAAAAATCTTGAAAGGATCAAAGAACAGGACAGCCTTGAACTTTAATGCCTTTTGCAGTAGGACAAGCAGCCAAGGGACACCCTTCAACATTATTTCCCCACCAGTTAAGGTTAATGTTGTTTGAACCCAAAGTAAGAAACAGTAAGATTGTCATGAAGGCGGTTCCAGCATCAAGACCACCAGACAAAACATAATTGTAGCGCTTCCACCAATCTTGTTTATATCGATATATAATGTACCCTGAGATAAAGCCGACGGCAATCCAACTTGTGAAGTTGACTGCAGTTGCGGGAGGCATCATTGATGTTGAACCCAACAAGACAGGCATGTGAATTAGACGAATCCATGTTTGTCCCGGGTATGCCTTGTGAGCAAGCCAAACTAGAAAAGGTGCAATGGCTCCACCAAGGAAGAACCAATTCACATTGCTGTATTCACCGAGGTTTCCGAAGATTCTGCGTGGTCCAAGAAGTCCCCATATAACTGATGCATCATAGAAAACATTGTCCATTGGGCAAGTCCAAGGGCTATCAGAAGGTAGTTTGGAAGTATCACAAAGGTCGGGGATCGTCCCCATCAACCACCAAGCGGTTACTGTGTATACAAGTACTGATATGAATGTTCCTACCATCTACATACAATGCAGACAAATTTAGTTTCTTAATAAGGAACTCCTACTTTAGAAAAAACTAACACATACATGAACACCAAATATGGCACTGATACATCAACACACGTAATAATTTGAGAAAATAAATTAACTGTATGTAATCGCATGTGTTAGTGTTATACATCAGACACATTCAATAAGAAGTGTCGGTACTATAGAGCTCAGACTATGTGAGACTGTATAGTGATTGAAATTTATAATGAGAGGAATCATAACTGACCTGAGCCATGAACATTGTTCTTGGTGGAATCTTCATATAATGACCAAGTTTAAAGTCTGCCAAAAATGTTAGTGCCTGAGACATGCTAATGTAGCCATACACCTTAAAGCACATGTTAGCCACAGGGCGCTCCGGATACATGTAACCAATGATGTATTCTGTTATAATGTTCAAGCCTGGTTGCTGTTAAAAAGAAGAGAAGAAATATTAGACAACTATAGCACCAATATAAAGTTAGCAAGTTTTGGAGGTAAACTATTAAGATACCTGATTTGTAGTGGCTGATATTATACCGATTGGAAGAGTGAATAAAATGGAAATAGCACAAGCTAGCAATACGCCCCACCAAGGCAACTGAAGTGATTCGTTGTAGTACTCGCAAATAAAAACAATAAGAGCTATGTTCACCACTAGAATTATGTGAAACCACCACATGGGGACTGACTTGTACTTCCTCATAAGTCTTGAGTGTATGTCAATTTTTCTACCGGCTCCAAAAGCACTTTTACTTTGCGCCCATATTTCCCTGCACATCGCATATCATATAAATGTTAATGAAGTTAAAATTTTGCAAGACATCATATATTTTCCAATAAAATTTGAATATGGTGAGGAGGATAGTGCAGATTTCTATAGAATTCAAACACAAAGATCTGAATAAGATGTTTCGCAAAGTGATTACCTTCCATGGAAGAGAAGAACATGCACAATTGTAGCAGAAAGTGTGGCAAATCCAAGGCCATAAGTCATTGCAAAGAATGTGCTGAGATGTAGAGGCCCATTCTTTGCATAAGCATCCCGATCAAGATGGAAATCAGAATTGACGATGGTCGAAATGTCATAGATCGAACCATTTCCCATAAAAAGCTTATTTGAAAATATAGGAAAATTCTTGGCGTTGTAGACATTGAACCAGTAAAAAATTGGTGTCATCACATACATAATGATAACGAATCCAACAGCGATATTTGCGGTAGCAAACCATGGGCTGGCTAGTGGACTGCCAAGGTAAGAAGAAATCGTAGACCAATCAAAACCAAAAGCAGCAATCCCAAGACCTTTCATACCAGAACCAAGTTGTTGGACAAGGATAGACTTGGGAGCAAGCCAACACATCCAAGCAAAAGATGTCAGCATTGAAAACATGTAGCCTGGTAACACATAGTATGCCATTCCAGAGATCATGACAAGGAGGAAAAACTGAGTCCGGGTTGTGGCTCCTTTCGGTCTTTTGCTTTTCTCATGCAGAGCACTGCATTAATATAATGGCTTTAGAATAGTTACAGTTTTGCAAAACTTACTGCAACTGAAGAACACGTTAATTCAATAAAACTCACCTGAATAAAGAGACCTGTACCAGATTAGAAGGCCACCACATTTCCGCAGGCTCAACAAGAAATTTCCTAAACAGTCCTGCCCAACCAAATCCCAGCACCTAAAATTGAAAAGAGAAGCATAAGGCAATATTCTCTATTAGTATATGAAGCACGGAGCTCAAGGAGTATGCTTGTCGCGTCTGACACTTGTAAGTTGTATGACAACCGTACGACACGTATCGGAAAAGTTAGTCAAATGTCACTTAAAAAATAGTTAGTTTTTTCATTGCTTTAACACTCTTTAAATCGGTGTCAGACACCCGTATGACACTCATACAACACGTTTCGGACAATTCAAACAAGTATTTCAAAAATAATTTGTTATTGGGAAGCAAATAAATTGAGAAAAAGGTATAGTATTATAAATAGATATACAAAAGAGAACCTGAGTGGTGAGCATGAGTAGTAAGGCTGGAAGGAAACCGAGTTTCCTTTTGTACATGAGCTTCACTGCACTCAAAATATGAGTAGCATAAACGGATCCAGCACCAGAATTAGCAAAGATGGTTATGAGAACATGCTCCTTGATATTGAATGGACCTCTATTCATTGAGAATTCAAACCTTGTATCTTTGAAGAAGACACAAGTTGGCAACACCCTTGCCATGAAATGACCAAGTGGAACAACAGCAATCTGAGCAGAAATTGAAGTGACACTCAAAGGCTGCGTTCTGTACCAAAAGAATTGATTCACAAAGGACAGAACCACACATGAAAGAATCCCAAGAACCCACATTCTAAATGTGACAACAGGTAATGTAGGGTCATCGGTTTTTGATACGGTGAGTTCAACTTGTTTAACAGGACACTCTTCATCCTCATTCATCTCTGTGGCACTATTTTTTGACTCAATATCAAACCTTGAAGACATGGTTGCAATGATATCCAATCTTCTTTTGCACAAAAAACAAAATTATGAGATCAAATATAAGTCTTATGCATACATGTAAATACAAAATGAGGCATCGATGTATATCATACACAAAAGGACACTAAGAAGCATTACAGCATTTCAGGCTGAACAAAAGACTAAGAATTCAGCAAAGTTGACTGTACTAAGTGTTTGTATCGTTGTATTTACG